TGCCGAAGCTGGTCGTAACCCGAAATGTTCGTTAGTAGAGGCGTTCATAACCCGAGGTACCACTGTAATTTGCTCTACTAAATAAGAATCAGGATTCATCATGATGCAATCTATACCTTAAAGGGAAGACCCATGGGAAGTTTCATTCTGAAAACTATACCCATTTTTAGACTTTCAGAATACTCTTAAGTACTTCGATGCAAACAATGAAGGGAAGGGAAGGACAAAAAGAATTGTACCCAAATTAGACAACTTATAAGTGGCTCCTCTGAAAGGGAAGCATATCCATACTTTGTCATTAAGTAAAAATTATATACCTCAGTTCATATGTAAATTACTTGTTACAAATGATTCTAGGGTCTGATGGTACAGACTTAATCACGTCAAAGAGAGATTTACTGAAAGCAATCAAAGAAGGCAATCATAACTACTTAAGTCCCACTGAATTGATTGGGTATATTCTAAGCATGACTGAACCTGAAGAAACTTCAGTCTCTTCTACTGCTTCCTATGTAAGGTTGTATCAAGGTCAGTAGGGACTATGTTGATCGTTGATTTCTGGGGCAAAATGTAATCTGATTCATACCTGGCATTTCTGTTCTCACAAGAAATTAGGAAGCATAGTGTTGATGCCAAAACTTATCAGATGCTAATGACAAAAATTTCTCACAACGAAGAGGATATACAGCCTGCTGTTATATGCAATTCTTCCCTATACTGAGGTCCACAAGACAGCTATTTTTGAGTAATCAACCAAAAGCTGAATAAGTGCCTGATCATACAGAACTGCACAGAATGAAACAAAATCAGGATAACCTTTGACAGCAAAGGCTTCTAATGTAGCCCAGCCTAATTACACTGTCTGCCTCAACAAACTCAAAAGCTAGAGGCTAAATATCCTCTTTATCACCTCATCAGTTATCCAGCTATCCTGCCTCCTACTTAATGTCATGTTTGCAGGAAGAGGTAGGGAGACAGTTCTAAAAACAACACAGACATATAAATACAAGACTACTACTTGAAGGAATACACCTCAGTTCAAACATTATCATTTCTGAACTATAAATGAGATTCTGCAAATTATTCCAATGTGAAAATTGCTTACAGAACTCCATCTCTATAAATCTACAAACCCCTTATTACCAAGACAATTACCTATTCTCATCAATTACACAGCATGAATTAAATTGCCAAATTCCAAGTGATGGCTTGCAAATCTGAAAGACAGCACAGAATATGTATCACAAACTACCACTTTACTATTTATTCTCAAATGAAGTTTAATAATAGTAATAACAACACCACAGACATATTCTAGGACATCTGCTAGTTTTTCTTCTAATTCAAGGAATTAATGCTAAAAGTAAATACCCATTTTTCTTTCTTAAATCCTTAATTATATAAGTTCACAGAATGAGAAGGGATCATTTAAGTCATTGAATCTCAGTGCTGTAATATAAATTAAAGCATCCCTGTCAAATGACTCTCCAGTCTGCTTGAACACATCCAATGAAGGGAAGGGAACCTCACAATTGCTTCCACCATCAAACTACTCCTATCATTAAAACCTTTTTCCTAATATTTGACTGGAATCTGCTTTTCTTTAACTTAAAATAATTATAAATTCTCCTGCATTTGGATGATAATGTGTTCTCTAACTCTAAATATAACATTTGTCATATTTTATTAAGGCTGTACATAACTGCTTCTGTCAGTCTCTCTTCATAAGAATTGGTTCAGTCTCCTAACCATTCCTTTGTGCCTGTTGTAGCAAATCTTAAAATAATGCATAAAAATGTTGATAAGTAACAACAGGCCTAGCATTGGCACTGCACACAATATCTCATTAGTTGGACAGGGAAATTTCAATGAGCACTCCTTGAACATGGTTTTCAAGCCAGCACTAAATCCACCTATCAAACAGGCCATCCAGCCCATGATTAAGTACAGTGGTACCTCGGGTTACAAACGCCTCTGTTAACGAACTTTTCGGGTTACGACCAGCTCCGGCCGCAAAAATTTAACTCGGTTTGCAAACTCCACCTCAAGTTACGAACCGGATCCGCAGCCATTTTCCCTCCCGTGACACGGTCCGCGGCCATTTTTCCACCCCTGACACGTGGTCCACGGCCATTTTTCTGCCCGACACGTGGTCCGCGGCCATTTTCCACCCCTGACACGTGGTCCGCGGCCATTTTTCCACCCCTGACACGTGGTCCACGGCCATTTTTCTGCCCGACACGTGGTCCGCGGCCATTTTTCCACCCCTGACACGTGGTCCGTGGCCATTTTTCTGCCCGA